TAAAATTGAAACCAGTGCTGTGTTCTTTTAAGTGACCAGCAGGAGGCGACGCTTCTGGTTACAAAAATGCCTCCACCTATGGAAAATGCCTACACTTCCTCCTTCTGTGAACTCAGTGAACTTTTGTCCTGATGATTTTGTGGCCTCGGCGACTAGTTTCAGCTCATTCTGAATAAAACATGAAGTTCATTTTGTAAAGCTACTTTATAGCTACAGCGGGTAACTCTGCATATTTGATTAGGCAGATTTTTACACTGGATGCCTTCACTGACACAAACCCCCAGGGATTTGTGCCTCTTACTGGGATCGAACCAGCGATTTTTTTTTTAATACGTAACCAACATTTTTTAAATTATGGTAATTATTACAGTGAGAAAGGAGGATTATCCGGAGCACACTTATTGGCTCACAGCTTGTCAGTCACAGTTCGTTAACCAATAAGTATTCAATCACACAGACAGATCAAACACCTCACCGTCACTTCTGGTTTAAAATACTAAGATGATAACAGTGAAAATGCTCGACCGGATGCTTAAAAACAATATATATTTTTATATTGCACTTTCTCTGGTCATAAGATTCTCAGGAACTAAATCCCATTAGATTTAGATTAGTTTAAAAACAGTTCAAAGCACTAATTTCTAATAAACAGTCATTTCTTCTTCATCTTAGCAATCCCATCAGACATTATGACTTCACCTAACAGGAATCGCACAGGTGCTACTAATTACATCAATATGGCAGCTCAGTTCTGGTCACTTGCATCTACACCAGCATGAAAGTGAGACATTGAATCTAAAGCAGCTAAATGAAATTCAGCTGGGAAATAAATCTATAACATCTATGACCCAACAGTGTTGCATCTCATCCCCTTATCTTTGCGTGATTTTAAAAAAATCCCTCGTGTCCTGTTGTTTCCCCTCTCTCCCTCTGGTCAGTGGGCTTCTTAGGAATGCAGCTCTGAATATTTTTACGAGCTTAAGCACGACACTTGTGTGAATCTTGTCAAAACAAGGAGACATCACTTAGTCCATGAGAGCTTTGAGAGCCAGGTGGGCTTGGGGCCTCCACTGAGGTCTCTGCCCTGAAGATTACCTACCAATTAACCTCTGACCAGACAAGGATGCCCCAACACTTATTTCTTAACCTGTTTTTCCCTGCATTAATTTAATGCACGGATCAGTTTAATTTTGGTCATTTTGCTGTTACAGCTTTGGCGACTGTTCTGAGAGGCTCTCATAACCAAGTGAGACACATCTGTTTGGATGTGGGTCTTCAGCAGTTGGAGCTAGCTGAGGAGATTGACACATAAAGTCCTTCTGCGAGGCTGTTTTCTATCTATGTGTTGCTATCACCCCGCTCTTCATCTGCTCAGTCAAATTAATCCAACCACAACCCCAACTGCACGACCCCTGACCCTGCGCACCTCTTTGAAAGTCACATGACCATGCAGGTGTGGAGGGGTCCCTGGCCTGGCCGACCCCCAATTAGTGACCCTAATTAGTGGAGAGGCCCCCTGATGGGCTGCTGAGCTGCTTTATCAGAGGAGGAAGGAAGAGGGAGAAAGGATGGAGGGATGGAGAAAGGCGAGCGGGGGCAAAAAGGCGGGGGTGGCAGGACAGTGAAGCATTCCTGAAGATCTGTGGACCAAACGCACACCCTCATTCTCACACACACACAAACACAAACACACACTGTGCATATTAAAAGAAAAACAGAGCCAATGTGGAGCTGAAGGTTCATTTGTTGATGCACAACAAACAGCTTCTGAGTGGTGATGTGGAATTGATCTGATGCTCACTTACATGAGCGTGAGTGCAGACTTTGTAGCCGTTTTTCCTTCTTATTCGTTTAATCTCTCGCTCAGACGTCTTTGTAAGACATGCTGCTATCAGAGTAAAAGAATCAAATCAAGTTAAAAAAAATCATCAAGATCACACAGTTTAGATTTAGAGGGTTTTTGTTGTTGAAGGTTTTCATTTCTCTGCTGAACTGTTGTTCCTACGTCACTGGTGGAGACGATGGTATCGTCTGTATGTAAACACACATTCTGGTGTTTGAAAAAAAAAGGTCATCACTTCACCAAACTCTAGTTTTCATTAGAAACTTACCTCAATGTTTGTTTGTCTACATCACCAGGAGCTGAGAAACTAAAACTATGACACAGCTACAACTCACACTCCTGGAAGTACTTATGTTTGTCACATATAATGAAGTTGGGCTAAAATAAACTATTTATAACCTTTATGCCTCTTTAGTTGATTATTAAAAAAGCTATGTATGACAAATTTAATGACAGCAACATCAACAAAACTTTCATTATGTCTTTTATATTCAGATGTCATCAATGGGCCATAGTCAGACAGAGTGTCCAGGTTGTAGAATCAATAGATTCCATAATCTAGAATGGGCATGCACAAGCAGTCTAAATATACAACTATATTTCCTACACATAGATAAACCAGTGTAGTTGATAACAGATATTGCTTTAAGCCTATAAGAGTACTTAGGCTGTATAATGCAGCACATTAAATATTGATTTGAATTGATATGTTATGTTTTGTTTGTGTTTGTGATGCTAAGGTTATTCATTTAACTGAAAAATGTGAAATTACTCTGTGAAGCACTTTGTTAAACATCAATCTGTGCTGAAAGATAGAAAAGCAGAGCTTCAGTATCACAGTCAAGGTTTGACTGCAGCTAAATTAAAAAGTAAAACAAGATGTGGAGAAAAAAAAACATTTTAGTTGACAGAAAAGAAAATAAAGAATAAACTTTAAAAGTAAGAAAGAAAAGAAAACCAACTGAACTTTGTGAACTTACAAAACAAAACAAACAAAAAAAAAGCAAAATTACAAATGAAATCTTCTTAGTTTTAATTGTCTTTATTGGTTTGGTAAAGATTTGTCGGTGTAACCAGCCTTTACTGAGGCGGGCATGTTTACATACCGTAACTGTGAGCCAGCTGCCTTTGTAAAGAGCTATGTTTGTATTGAAGCATCCATTCTGCTTTGCCTAAATATTTCCACTGATAAAGTCTCTCCATATAATCATAATTAGAAAGAATAAACTGTAAGCTAACAAAAAATAAAAATAAATCAAGCAAACTCACTCTGAAAACTAAGTGAAACTCAACTGCACTGAAAACAAAAACTCACAAAACAAATCAAATCAAAACTTATTAAAAAATCAAAATAAAACTACAAAACACAGAACTAAAACCAAAATAAATAAACCAAAATAAACACACTCATCATGTTAAGTGACTTTATGAAGTGTTTGAAGTGAAAATTCAGTGAAACAATAAGCGCACTCCTCAAACACCACGGTGAAAATAAAGTTTAAAAGTAACCAAATAAAGCATTATCTGGTTTTTAAAAATATAAAAATTCCCTACTGTTTAAAAACGTGTAATTTACACACCTCATCTACCTTACAAAGCTTTTGTACTACTTTGCCTTTGATGTTTAAATATTTTTCTAATGTTATTTTCTTAAAATCTTCACATTTTTTAAATGTATTATTTAAAAATAATTAAAGTAAGAAAAGTATGAAAAAAATTACAAAGTTTGTTCACTGATTCTTTTTACTATAATTCTTTCACTGTTCAGTGACTATTCGTTTGAACTAGTGCATTTTAATTACTAATTATTGATTACTATTACAGGCATTATTGGCTCAGTTAAGCTGCCACTGCACAAACTAAAATAAGCCGCTTATTAATTGTTATGAGTCAAACTGACAGTTTGATAATAGTTTTTGTTCTATTTATTTTTAGTAAAATACTGATTTTTATTTTTCCAACCATGTGTTTTTTTTTCCCAGGCAAATAAAGTTAAATGCAGCAATAATTATCCTTTAAATAGCTGTTGATAAAATTGCACCAATTAAAAACCATTAAAAACCAACAAGTTCAGCCTTGTTGCTCCTCCCTGGAAGCTGTTTATCACCAAAGTTTCTTCCCCCGCAGTTACTCTCCATCCCCGCCCAGCTCTGCCCTCCCCTCCTCCCAGCCCCTCTCTAAAACAGCCCACCCATCTGGTCTTCTTTCTGCTGGCCCTCTCGCTTCTTCCTCGCTCAAATAAAGGTGCCAATCACTATAATTGGCACCCTGCAGATCGATTGTCCCTGTTTGGAAAGGTGCCCCTCACCAAAGTCTGGGCTTACAGGGGGATATATGTGGTATTTTACCTTCACGGCTTTGAAAGAGTTACAACTTGTTCTTTCTTTGCACATAATTCTTCACACTGACATGTAATTTGGGGGACTTTTGGTAAGAAATAATAAAAATGTGATTCATGTGACATGTCTGCGTCCGCGTGACCCAGCGGTAGGTGCTACATCACAAAGGGTTCATAACAATCTTGGTGAATCTCAGACTGCCTTCTGTGAGGACCAAACATGTTCAGTATCTTTAAACTGGAAAAGCTAATCACAGCTATTTGTCATGACTGAAAGATCTTCTTTTTTCATTAGGGAATAAAAACGGGTTACAGGTGGGTGAAAAGTAGCTGTAAGTCCAGTTTTTGTGGGTAGAAAAGGGGATAAAATAACCCTTACACATTTATTGAATATGATTAGATATTTTTCCTATTTATTTCTTGCCTTTTCCTTTATAAATATACGCTGGTTGTTAGGGCTTACCATTAGAACATGTTTACACTGGCTTTAATAACAAGAGCAATAATAATAATGCCAAAATATACCCTCACTGTACAGAATCTTTTAAAGCACTGCTCTTTGCATTTAAATCTGAGGTTTGTTTAGGGAAAACCGACCAATGAGTTTATAAGGTGTCAGCAGCGCTCTTCCAATTCTTCCTCTAATTTGACCTTCTCCACTATAATAAATATTTTTGCAATTAAAAACATCAGATTATTATTTCATACAGGCAGAATCACATGAGTTATTTCACATTTCGTGAAGTATATTCTCATCCAATTAATGTCCCAAGGACGTGCCAATTCAGGCTTTGTGCGCCACCATGCAAACCAAAACATAATTAAAGTGTGAGGAATTTAAAAGGCAGCACCTCCACAGAAAGGCCTGGAAAAAAAGAAGAAATGAGCCGTCCACTGCTTTGATTTGCCAAGCGGATAGGGAGAGGCCAAGGTTTTTAATAAAGCTGTAAGCAAGCTAAGGCACTTTCAAAATGCTCGGAGTGGATGGAGGAAGCTCAAGCACGCAGATGTTGGTCATGTTTGTTCACTGACAAAGACAAACGAAATAAGCCTCTGCAAGGACTGTGGATTACAAATACTATCACTCACAACAAACTGTGAAATAACTTTTTTTTTTTGAGGGGGGGGGGCATTTATTAATTATTATTTTCTTTATATTCACTCTTTAAAGTTGCATTTTTGGCCCTGAGGCAGGCCAGAGAATGAGAAATAAAACAGAACACAGGAGGCAAATTACATAGACATATATTTATATGCATATGAATAAAAATACATATACATATTGTACAATATCTTGGCAGAGCGTGAAAACTGCTCTGTCAGCCCAGAAACAGAAAGTAAGCCTCTTTAAATAAGTGCAAAATGTTAATGAGACAAAGAATTGTAAAGCATATATAAAGTCTTTTTTTTCCAAACTTTCTTTCACATTTTGTTTTTCCTGTTAAAATCACACGGAGCAGACATGGAGATAACTTGTGCAAAGACCCATTTATATATATTTATATATAAATTTATATCTATGTACATACAGTTTGTTCATCATAAGAAGTAGCTGGTGCCATTAGCTTGACATTAAAGTACTGCTCAAAGAAAAGAAGTTAGGGCCTCTGCAGGACCTAGGCTGTGCATAAACCAAAGAGTAAACCAAGCAGAATCAGTTTGTTGTCTTCAAAATAAACGGAACATTTTTCTCACAATCTCAAAGGACGAGAGCCGCGAGGAGGCCCGCAATGTTCCTGAAATGGTGGTCTCGCTTAAACAAGTGCAAGATGTCACACACGCAACAAAAGCAACACTTCCACGCTTCAGCTGGAACGAGAAAAAGAAACTAAGACGAAGGCTTTGTTGAACTGATGCAAAGCTTTACCCCATTTCCTTCTGTCAGGGAGAAGAAGGGCCGTCTCACTTATCCTGCTGTCCCCCCTCAACCTGAAGCCTGCATCTAATGAGCTGAGGACGCATTACAGTAAGTCCAGAAAGCATTCAGTGGCTGAAAGTTGAGGGAAAATATGGAGTTTGAGATTTCTTTTGCAACCACTGAACATTTTCTGTCATCTCACATTGGATGGGAAATGAGCTAAGAAGTTCAGTGTCTTCTGTCTTGTGCAGCTTAATGCAAAACAGTAGAAACACTTTTTTTTAATATCCAGCAAAAAAAAAAAAAAAACCAAGAGAGAGAGACAGCAGAGGAATGAAACAACCTGGCTGTGAGAAAAAGACAAATAAACGAAAAGACTACATTGGCCCTACACGAGAAGCAAGCCTCCTGACCTCTCAGCTCCATCTCTCTGCTCAATATTTGATGCCAGAGCATGTGAATTATGGATGGTGCTTATAGAAAATAATACAGTGTTCAACAACATCACAGGTGCACTGCTACAGAAACCTACGAGTAGATAACAGGGGGATTTTTTTCTCTTTTTTTTTTTTTATTGCATCGCTGCTGGGCTCTAAACACAGGAGCAACAACAAATCACCAGCTACTGGCTGCTGGTACACGGGTGCAAAAAGGCCCGGTGAGCTGAAGGTCAGAATCTTTCCTGCACTCAGAAAGAAATGTATGTGCAGCCAGAAACGTGCCCGGCTGTTTTAAACGTAGCCCCGGCCTTTACTTACAGGCACTCTTTTTCTTCTTTTTTTTAAATTGATGTCATGGCAGTGTCCTTTTTCTTTTTTTTAGCACATGTCAGGCCATCTTCAGTGAGTGTAAGAGAAAGAGAGCAGGAAATAAAACTCACAGTGAGGTGAAATTTAGAAATGAATAGATACATGGGAAAACAGACGAGAGACGGGAGTGAAAAGGGGGCAATAACTCATCTGACACGCACAAATTGAGGGCAAACTGTTTCGAATAGCAGGCTCTCGCGGTTGATTCTGATTTGCTTTGGACAACAAGGAAACCTGGACAAATGGCATCTCATGGGGAAGAGAAAAATGAAAAATACAGGTCATTCAGCCACTTCCTTCCTTCTCATTCAGCCCTGAATGAATCAGACAAATGCTCTGTCGGTTCTAACACACAGAGATCAATTTAGCTTCAAATCAATCAATTAAAGAATGCAGCTGAAAGAAAGCTGCAGATTATTTCAGGAGGGGAAATAACTTAGGATGTATTTTTCCTGGCTTTAATTCTGAAAATCACCTTCCTAAGAAAATAAACTTCTCAGGAAGGGTGAGGGGGTGAAAGTGGAGGAAATACAGGATGATGTAGAAACGCCATAAAAACATAAAGTGCTTTCAATGAGTGGTGAACGCAGACAGGCTGAGGTAAAGTGTAACAGGAGGGCAAAACAGGGCGGCTGAAGGAAAATCAACAGCCTGAGATTTTCTCATGTAACGCTGCGGCTTACTGTATCCTGAAAATGTTCAAAGAGATTAAGATTAGGGATGTGATGACCCGGTAAAACAGTACTTAGGTAGCTTTCATGTTGTTGTAACATTTCAAAAATAATAATTAAATAAACAAACCTGAAAAAATAGAAAAATTACACTATGGGTTATGAAACAGCAAATCCTACAGCTGTCAGGAAATCCAGCAGTAGGAACCTCTCAGAGCAACGGCCAGGTGTTTGGGGTGTTCAAGCAGATATCCTCTTTCATCCATTCATCATAGCCGATAAATTAAAAGAAGCTAATAAAAACTAAGGGATCATCACTACATAGCCAATGATTCTGCAAACAAAGACCTTCTTTTATCCTCTAAATGGACCGTTTACCTCGGTGCGACCAAAGCAGACCTCGAGCAAAAACCAGAAAGTTTCCGGTACCAAAAATCTGCATATTCATCAGTTTTTTTAATCCAAACTGCAGCTGCAGCTAACGTTTTTCATCATCAGTTAATCTGACAAATGTTTTCTCAGTTCTTCTTTTAGTATGTGAAAGGTTAGCGCTGCGGTCGCTGTACCATCACAAATCATCTCGTTTGAAAAGCTGAAACCAGAAAAAGTTACAGGTTTGTTTTGTTGTTTGTTTGTTTTCTTTTGCTTGAAAAGCGATGATAAACAAGTTATTATCAGAACTGTTGATTCATTTTAATGTGTGATGACTTAACGATGGAGCTGCAGCTTAAGCGCAGAGATCTCTGCGCTGAGAGTCGGTGCTTATTCTTTATGCCTCTGAAAACTTTCTCGGTCTCAGCGTCTTGAAGACAAGATTACAAAGGTCAAACTGATACCGCTGGCCCGGGTTCAAAGGTCATCTCTCTCAGCCCGACCTCCACTTGCTTCACCGGCCAGAGAACGCACGTGAGGTGCTTCTCGAGGCTTTATCTGTAAACGCTTTGGCAGACACTAACCAGCCTTCTTTTCAGCTTTCTTTTCATGTTAAACTGTTAGATCTAGATATGTGATTTTTGCACCATTTGTCCAGATCCTACCACATTATGTTTCATACACAAACACAACCAAAGAAACTTTTACAAAAACTACAGCTGGACACCAAACAGACTGATATTAAAATGCTACAGTTCTTTTTTTTCTTCTTATTCTTATTATTATCGTGAAAACACATCAACTAAAATCAAACATGGCCACGTGTACAGGAATAGAAATGTGTACATAAAGCTCTCTTTGAAATACCGCTCTTCTCATTTTTTGTTTTGTTTTTCTTTTTTTAATCCTGAACAGTAAATGAAGGCCTGTATAGAGAGAAAAATCACACACACACACACACACACACACACACACACACACTGGACAAAAAGTGAAGAGTCGCTTAAAACCACTGCAAAGAGAGTGGTGATAAAAACATCTGCCTGTCGGAGTTCACGCAACATACACACATGGCATTTTTTTTTTTTTTTTTCAAAAATCCACAAGTTTGTTTTTTTTATGTGGGAGGGTGAAATCATCACTTCCTACCACATCAAGTCCTTTTCACCATTTTGTGTCAGTGTGCCAAACAGTGCAGTGGCACAAAATGGTGCTGTAAGAAAGCGACTTCCTCTCTTTTCTTTTCTTTTTTTCGCACTTCTATGAACCGGGCTGCTTTATTTGCCTCACTGCAGCCACTCAAGAGTCAAACAGGTGGCAGGGAGAGAGACTGAGGAGAAAAACTCTTCCAAAGACGAGCCCTGCTCCCCCAGTCGTCCCCTGAAAGAGGGACATTACACTTAAGAAACTGTCTTCTTCCCACCCAGGTCTGCCTCCTTCCTGTCCAGCCGCATGTACGGCTCAAATGCTGAAGAGCCGCAGCCGTAGGAGGACGACAGTTCGTGGTGAGCGCTCCCCAGGAGCGGCATGGAGAAGCAGAGGGGGTGAGGTGGCGGGACACCCAGCCGCGGGGAGGGCGGGGTGCCCCCCAGCGAGGGCAGAGAAAGCCCGAACGTCCCTCCTGGTAGGGAGCTGGGAGGAGTGCTGCTGCTGATCCCTGGAGAGGTGGAAGAGCCTCCACCCGGGCTGCTCAGCAGGGAGCCATTTGCTGGATGAGACGGAGGCCCCAGGAGAGAGTTAGGTGGTGGGGGGGCAGGGCCTGACAGGAGGCGCCCCTGCTCTAGGAGGCGCAGGATGTTGCAGGTGGCCAAAGACTCAGACGTGGAGGAGGAGCGCTTGTCTGAATCCTTGGTGGTGTCCTTCTTCTGTTTGGTTCGGCGGTTTTGGAACCACACCTTCACCTGCGAAGGCAAACACAGTCTGTCAGCGGTGGAGTCGGCAAAAATGTTACGAGAAGAACTGAGAGATGATTTTGCCAAGACTCAAAGAATAGGACCAAATAAATTTTCAATCACAGTCGTGAAAACCCTGATTTTATTGCACCTTTTCTTCATTTCAGCACTGGAACGTCTCCAGAATCATCACACTGATTCACTTCATGCCAAAAGCTACACAGCTCCCAAAGTCTGAGGACACTTTGTGACCTCAAGTGCACTGCAACAGTAAACCAGTCATAGCCTCAGAACTCCATGAAGAACAAACAGAGATAGTTTAAAATCAAGGCAACAGCAAATGGATCAAATCTGTTGTTTCTGTCTGCAGCTTTGACCACGATTTTGCCCACTTTTTGGCCCTAAGAGGTTTGAAACACTGGAAACTAGAATGCAAAGGGAAAAATAAAGTGAAAATTTGAAGCTGAAAGAACAAAAACGCTCTCGAAATCGTTCAGTTTCATCGTTCACAAGACATCGTGTTAACTGCAGCCAAACAGCAAAAGCTTGGTGAACTCTGTCTGTCCTTGTCTGCCATATTTAATTAATGAAGTGCAGCTTTAATGTACAGTATGCTTAAAACTTAGGAATGGCTACGGGGAGGCTGATTGAAGGGAACATAGGGGTCACGGGGTCACAGCTCATAGAGACACACCTCTGTAAGGAGTCACCCATGAAAAATGTATAACATCCTGACCGAGATACAGCTAACTCCGTGTTTCGCTGCAGGTTCACTGTATCGCAGAGTGTGGCGCTAAAATGAGCAGCGTAATAATTCAGCATTTCCAACAAGCTCTCGCCTTGGTCTAATCAAAAATGAATCAAAATCATCAGCAAAAGGAGTCTGAAACAAGTTCAGGAGAATTAGGAAAGCTTCTGTGGAACGAGACGTTGTTACTTACAAGTATTCTCATTTGATCTTTACTTAAGAACTACAATTCAAATTAAGGTTATTTCACTTTAAATAAAAAATAATCATAATGTTATTTTATTTTTTAAAATTTTAGCAATTAAATTTATTCTAGTTCATTAAAAATAAAAGTTAGGAAGCTGTATGAAAATAATTTTAAAAAGAAGAACTGGAGCAAAAAACAACTGAAATAAAATAAAAGAGACTTGGAGTATGTGGTTAAAAAAACTGTTTGACTGATTTTCACCCCTGAGACATGTAAAAAGAAAACTTTAAAAAAGTTAACTAAAACTAAATAGAAACTAGGAAATCCCTCCTGGAGACTGAATCAAAAACAAAATAAGTAAATACATTAAAAGCAAAAATAACTCTGTGGTGTCAGATGTGATTTAGCTTAACAGCCTAAATACTAAAGCTGCTACGCAATGCTCCGTTTGTGCTATAAAAAGCAGTAACTAGAAGCAGCTGTTTTTAATTCTCGCTTCAGACTTTAAAGCTGTTTTGAAAGATTTCAAAGTACATCGACATATAATGTTCATTTACATATTTTCAGTTTCAATTCATCAGCAATTTATAGAATAATTAATCTACAGATTTATTTCTGAACTAAATGATAATCAGGAAGAAAAAGATGCAAATGCAAATCTGAGCAGTTTTTCTTTCAGCTAACTTCTTACAAGCAGCTTATTTTCTACAGGTTTCCTTACATCCTACCTTCTGATTACTTCATTTTGTTGCTGAGGTTGGAAACCAAGCTAAACTAAACCAAAGAGATCTCCCCAGGGATTTACGGTATTAAATAATATTTGTTAATCATGCCTCGTTTATCGCCCCACTTCTTCTCCGCTCACATCTATACGGTGTAAATTTATCCAACATTACACAACAGACGTTCCTAGAAATCCAGTAATCTAATCCCTGGTAAGAGGGGATTCCTGTTACAGGAGAAACATATAAACCTGTGAAGGATCTGCAGCTCATGGTAAAAAATAAAAGAAAAAAATACTTTCATATGACTGTGTTGATTGCACAACAGCCAAATGACACATACGAAGGAACGTAAAGCTACGTGAGCGTAGATCCACAGAGAAGTTATGTGTAAACTGGACCCAATGTGGACCCCAGAAAGTGGTCACATGACCCATCGCTCTGACAGAGGGTCTCGTAGGAACCTACAGGCTTAAAACACCATTTCAACTTCATTTCATCAGGCTCACTGAACATGTTTGGCCTGATCTTAAACCTCATTGCTGCTGAAAATCACTGCAGTCCACTGGTAGATTTCCAGCTGCAAGTAAGAAAAAAGGGGAGTCGTCATGACCTGGGGTTTGTGTTGTGTTTGAGCAGAAACAAATTAAGAAAAGAAAGCACAGCAGCTGTGTGCTGAGATGGACTCGATCTGGATGTCTTCTGATGCCTCAGGGGCAACTGACAATGTTTCTGTGGTTGCTAGAAAAGCTATTAATGACTAAGCCTGTGACTGTAAATGCAGAGAAGTTTTTAAAAAGATCACATAAAAAATTAAACTGACTCCACGCGATGGCCGCTGGTGCAGACATGACTGGTATTGGCCTCTTGCTTTAGTACTAAGAAGGTAAATGATCATTGTGGAGAGCAAAAGAGGAAATGTGTTTGCTATAAAGCATTGAATAACCATCCTTTGTGACTTAGCCATTAATTTGGCCTTTTAAATCAATCTGCATTTTTTACTTCTTAATTAACCTCCGAGGACCTGGCGTCCACATATGTGGACATCACATTTTGGGTTATTTAAACTAAAATACTCAATTTTGCTCTACTGATATCCACTTACGAGGACATTATACTGCCATTGTTCTATAAAACTTTTAAACGAATATCCTCATATGTGGCTCTTATGTTCCTTAAAAACAAAAAGAAGGTTAAAAAAAAGTTGGTAATTCTTTGTTTTTACATTCATTGGGCCCCAATGACCCCAAATATCAAAGAGAAATTAAAAATGCGTGCCATGGAAGAGTTCTTAGGAGGTTAAGAATAACCAGACTTTTTTGGCAAGTGTTGCACTTCCATGACAAGCAGATATCCCAGGTAAGATTTCAGTTTCCATCTGCTGATCATAAAAAATGCAGATCTGACCAAATCAAATCCCCAGAAATGTGTCCCATGCCACTGGAGGCTTCCATACATGCTCATCTAATCCCGACTTCTGTGAGATTATGGGACATTTAGGGGTCTAAGTAAGAACTCAAGGGCACTTTGATGGTTCCTACGTACACATTTCGATCCTTCCCAAGGACCCTGCGGTCCTTCTAGACTCTTGCTGAGAGACGCTTTTGTTCAACTGGTATCAGCTAACTCTTATCTTCCAAAACATCAGAGCAATCCAGTAAGGCAATAATCTAAAGCTGTTCATTTTTATTCAGATAGTCAGTCTGGCTGGTGTTAACTACAGTGTCACTGTAACAGCTACTAGTTCAAGTGAGATCATAGTTCCAGCTACTGACCGTGACACAAATAATGAGATCAGAGAGGATCCAAAGAATCCCACAGCTCAGAGAGAAATACTGATGCAAGCACATCTTACTGCAAAGACCCAAACAAGGCGCGCGGGGGGGGGGACGACGTCAGAGACGGAGATAAGAGGGGAGAAGAGGGGAGGGACAACAGGAGGGTGGGAAAAGCATCAGAAATGATGTGTGCAGCATCGTGTCCTTCCTTATAGTCCAGATTTCGTCCTCGTTAGCTCACACACTACCCTCTAAGACCTCTCTCTGTAGCTTCACGTGCCTGCCAAATATCCAGTTAAAGGCTTTCACTATGGAGCAAAATCCCTTTCCTCAACCCTCATTGACGTGGGCGTGGCTTCCTCTCCTGCTCACATCAGTACCCTCCTATCCACTGCTCCAAACAAAAGGAGGGAGGGGTGGAAAAAAAGCTTTCCGATGTTTTACAGAGGGAAAATGATGAGAGGAGAAGAAAGCAAAGCTGCCTTCGGTACATCTACACTATTGGATGTAAATCCTTTTTTAATGGGATCCAGGGTTCAGCGTGGAAGCAGAGATTACCGAGGGAGATCTGGATCGGGTGTGACCTGCATTTGCCCTAGACAGGCAGACAGGCTCACCCTCTGCACCACGCCCTAATGCAGTACAGGGGGCATGGTCGGGGCAAGGGTGAAGAGTTTAGGACTGAGTCCTCCATGAGGTTATATTTAAAACAATCCAGCTTACGAACCAATATCCATCTCATTGTGTTTTCAGCCCAGACGTCCTTATCACTACATCATGGAATAACAAGAGCTTCATAAATAACTCCTCCTCAAATGCCATTAATGATGAAGAAGAGCTGCTATTAAAGGATCAAATGTTTCTTACATTGGTTGAGCACTCGCACTGAAGCCTTTGCATTAAAACCTCACAAATACATGCTTTCATGCTTTGAAGAGACAGAAATTTACTATATATTATTGCTTTTATAATTATTATTAATAATTACAACTCTGTGGAGCTGTGGTACGCTCTAAAACAGTCTTTTATTAAACATTAAGAAGTTGGTTTATCTATTAAATGATATTTACAGGTGCAGGCAGGCTTTTTGTGAATGTTCTTGTGTGGAAATATGTCATTATATATATGGCTATGTTGAAAAAAAAAATCACATATGCATGTCTGTCTTGACCAGTGGATCTCTAGTTTAGTTTCCAGCGTGCACGTCACTTCTTCTCCCTGAAACCAGCCAATGCTGAGCAACAAAACACAATGTAAACAGTGATGGGGTAAATTCAGCCAGGTTGGGGTACGTTCAACAAAATGGAGAGATGATGAGGCCGCCGGGCACAGGTCAGAGGCCTTCACCGTGGTTACAGCCAGCTGCAAACAGCAAGGCGGGCAAACTGGGTTAGAGGTAGAAAGGTTAAGCCAGATCAAGACCCAATGTACAGATCAAGTGGGCATATGTGTGTGCACCTAAGCTTTGCTGTATCCAGCTAGAGATGGAGAACTGGAGATCATGAAAAGATTTATTTGTGTTTAGATACATTTATAATTCTCAATTTCTTAATGGGGTTTTTTTTTTTGTTTTT